GGGCTGGCACAGCTGACGGTTGAGGTTCTCCTCTGTGGTTAGGTCTGGGGGTTGTTCCCCAATAGGCTGCCTCCTGTTGGCATAGCAGGGACTCTAGTGTGGCTCTAGCTCTCTCAATCTCGTCCCCGAGTGGCAGCTGGTTCTGCTGTGGGGCCGTTGGTGCTGCAGGTGGACCCATCCAATTGCCATCAGTGGTGTGGTTCGGCGGGTTCCGTGGGGCAACAGCGGTGGAAAGATCTTGTTCCGCTCCCGGCTGTGTAGCCATTGCCGTTGCTGGTGGACCCATCCGGTTGCCATCAAAGGTATGGTTCGGTTGGTTCAATGGGGCAGCAACGATGGGAAGATCTCGTGGCCTAGTTGTCACGACATCAACCCTGTGGCTGACTGGTACATCTGGCCGTTGAGATTCTTCTGTTCGTCTACTCAGTCTCGGGGGGCTTGTGGCTGTCTGTGGTCTCACCTGTTCACGTTGAAACGCGCTTTGGTTGTCCACGTAGGCTTGCACGAGGCTACGCCGATCTTCATTTTCCGATTGTTCCCTATTGGGCAAGAAATTGGTGTTCTGGAGTGTTTTCTGAAAGCCTTCCGCTCTAGCCATTTTGTCTGCCATATCTCATTGGCTTTGAACAAATTCAAGCTCTTCGTGAGCGTCTTTTCTTTTGGCCTTCATTTTAGCTGCTATAGCTTTTCATTTAGCTTCCAATTGAGCTGCTTCATTCTTCATTTTGACTGCCTCAATTTCTCGCTCGTTCTTCATTTTGACTGCCTCAATTTCTCGCTCGTTCTTCATTTTGACTGCCTCAGCTTCTAGTTTGGCTTCTATTTCGGCCTCTTCGAGATCTATAGCCGCCAGTTCCTTCTTTTTCTGCCGCTCCTCCTGAATCACACAAAAGACTGCTTCGGCAGCTTTGGCATCAATGATTGCTTGCTCTGCTTGTGAAATTCGGGATGCTCGACTGTGACGAGAAGATGCTTTCGAATTGCGGGAGGCGCCTGTTACGTGATTGTTGTGACATGCTGGAATGTGCCTTGGATATGTGGCAAAAGGATGAGGCCCTTCCAGACACGTGGGATGGAGCCACGTGCGACCGTTGGGATGGTGCGTGTGAATGGCAGGAAACTTCAGACTCGGCCCTGTCGACCATTCTGTCCCTCAGGCTAGGCTCGCGCTCTGGAGAGCATTGTGGGCTCCCTAGAAGCTCCTTGCATTCCTCATTTAGTAGCTTGAGGCTTTGCATCTCCCTATCGACACTTGAGTCTCTTAATTGCTCCTGAATGACCTTGAGTTGCCGTTCAGAGTCCATCCATTGCGCGAAGGCGTCTTCCTTATCTCCTTCCAGTGCGTGCGCACGTCCAGGGGAGAGATCTTCTTTTTGCTCTTGGTAGAGTTTGTGCCATCTCTCCCAGGATCTTTCATGGCGCTTGTACACAGTGTCCCATTTCTCCAACAGGTTCCACCGCATGACTTCAGTTGGCTTTCTTTGTTGTCTCAGATCATAGTGACTCTGAGACGTCTTTGACCTTGCTGAGGCTTGAGCTACAGCTTCTGTGTACAGGTCAAGGGTGGCTGTTTGCAGCATTTCTCCTTGGCCAGCTGGTTGGGGTGTCTCAACTAGGCTGGTTGGTTGAACCCCTTCATCTAAATCAATGAGCCACTCTGCCATGGCTAGGATAGGTTCAGTACACTTCCTAGCTATTTTGAAGCAAATTTGAAGAACTTCTATTTTTGACCACTAGGGGTCGCTACTTGCAGATCAGCTTCAGAGGTGCTGTCTGTGGGTGGAGGTGCCACTGGGTGCGTTCTCCTGTGCTTGTGGGTACTTCAGCATAATTCACCTGTTCACCACTAGGGGTCACTTGCTGCGTATCAGCTACTGGGGTGCTCTTCTTTTGAGGTACACCCTTTATCCACTAGAGGGCTTTCTCTGGGCGTGATTAAAGGCTTGCGTGTAGCTTCTCCTTTAACCACTAGGGGGCGTCTGAAGAAAGGCCAGCCAAATTCTTCCTATTACCGCGTTCCTGCTTGTGGCCACTGAGAGCATGTAGAGATACGAACTCCCACCTGGTTGTTAAATTGCAGGCTGGAACCCTGGGGTCGTCAGCTTGTGGTAATTAAGCAAGAATTGTTAGCTCTGCTTCCTTCTCCTTAGTCCCTTAAACTGGAAGAACTTGGTCTTCAGCTTGAGTGAGTGAATGCCCTTTTAGGGGGTGTTGGTAGCTTGGGATAAATTTAGATAACTTGCTCTTTAACTATCAGATTCACTCTGCGTAGTTAGAGGTGTGCGCAGTGAAGTGTCCCTTTTCCTCTATGGGAATGCTTTTAGCTTGGCTTGATATAAGCCTGCTATGTGCTGAATTAATTATCAATTTGTTGTAATCTAAGAAAATTTTTACCAAGGTGTCATGTGCAGATTGGCCACCAGGGGATGCTACTGCATTGCTATTGGAGCTTCTGTATACCTTCCTTCCATTGACATAGTTGAAATTCCAAAGGGAGGGAGGAGTTTAGCTTCTTTCACCAGTGCTGTGGCTGTGTGAAGAGGTTAATTACTTAATTGCCCTCCTTGGCAACCTGGTTGCTAGCTTGCTGACAATGAAGGCAGTTTTGGTTGAGAAATTATTGCCTTTTTATTGCCCTGGAAGGGGGCCCCTCTGCTCTTCTCTCGGCTAGCAAACTCATGAAGAAGAAGCAAATCTGTTTTTGCTTTGTTAATCTAAACACTTAAGTTTCAAATCCTTGTTGCATTAGGCAGGATGGGAGACAGGCTTTAATCTTTAAAGCAGTGAAGAGTCAATTGCCTGCCTTTGGCTGCATTCTGAACGTAGAATATAACAAGGGCAGGTATCACCCTTTCCAAGCCTTTACCTGAACTTTAGAGGCAGTTTTAAACAGTTCTTTTGCAAACCGAAATAGGTCTACAGTCTTCTGAAACACTTCTCTCATTGCCCCAAGCTATTTGAAGTTACCGGCAAAGAAAACAAAGCATCTGAATCACACCTTTTTTTGAAATGCTGTCTGCCAAACAGATATTTATTTTATTTATTTATTTATTTAATTTAATTTATATGCCGCCCTTCTCCC